GCGCCGATATCGTGGCAGACGAGAGTAGGCCTCATCAGCAATCGCGTCTGCCAGATTTTTGTGCCTTCGCAGGAGAAGGTTCCACTGAATGCTATACTGAAGCCAGTCACTCCCCGCACTCGTCTCCGTTCCGCTGGTTGCCGAGGTAACTGGCGGTGACCAGGTGGCAACCAATAAGCGGCCGGCCTTGGCACCACCTTTCGAGCCAGTGGTTGTACGCAACTTCAGATCTGTTGGCTTCCCCGGGGCTACAGAAAGTTTCAGGGTTAAGAAGAAAAAAAACAAAACAGTTAATGCATCTTAGTAGGATACGACTTTTTGAAAATCCCCAGACAGAAACATGCTCGGGCTAGAAACTGATGTGTGGCCCAGGAGCTTTAGGCCAAGCAACAGAGGTATTCTAACAGAGGATGCCTGATTTCATAAAATTAAAACCAAATCCTTAGATGTCTTGGTATCTAGAAAGCTGTCTAAATGGGAGTCTCTTTAGCGAAAATAATAAAAGCAAATACAAAAAAATACAGTAAGTCCTCGAGGATCGTGGCTTTTAAGTTCCAAGACCCCCCCCCGCGAAATTCAAATTCCCACGAGTTAATTACATATTTAAGAGCTTAATACCAAACATTGCTAAGGCTTTCAAGACTGAAGAACACTGCGACTTTTTTAATTAACGTAAATTATATTACTGTTTTGTTGAGGGCTTTTCAACTTGAGCCGTCATTTTTCCGCCCTACATTCACATGTAAATTTTCTTCCATTAACGTGCGTTGGCCTACATCACCCACTAGAAGCTGATTTTTATCCCTCTTCGTTTATTTGAACTACAATGAGGTCATCAGCGAACGCCGTTAGCGCCGTTTTGAAAGTAGTCCAATTTAGCCTATATTGGACATACTTTCCAAAGACATTTATCCACGATGTCGACAATTGCAGCCATTGACGATCATGGATCGCTTTTGATTTCCCAGTGTTGTGAGTTTGTGGGCATAATTTTATTCCTTGTGAATGGAAGCAGGTATACGTGAAACATTTGGAATTATATTTTCAAAATAAAACGTATCTCTCTCTCTCTCAACACGGACGATGAGATCGCGGCTATTAACAACTCAAACGCGAACTGCCATTACATCAACTATGACCCCCAGCAGTGATTATGAGAGCAAGGCAACTATATCTTATAAGTACCGCACCCCTTGTGCCTCCACTACCCTCCCATCTGTGACCGTCTCTGATGATCAGTTAGAGTAAGATGCCGAAACGTCAGGCCAATAAACGCTTTGTTGCAGTGATCGCAGAGCCGAAAGATCAACCGCTCTGTGAGCTAAACCTATTTTTGAACTCCTTTGTACCCCTTGTGGGCTTCCTCTTTGATAGATGAGAACTAAATTTGGCGCAGCCTACGAGCCACTTAAAAATCGAAGAAAAAGTCAAAAGAAAAACTCTGTGCTGTGATTTAAAAAGAGGTAAGTAAACTCGCAGGCGAATGTAACGAAGTAAAAGCAACATTGAGAGATGAAAGTGAACGGTGTGCACGCAGGAACCCGACGTTGGAAGTATTTATCCACCCCTCCCCCC